GAAGCAGCAGATGAGCAGCGATTAAACCAAAACTAGGACTGTGTTTGGTGAGTTGTTCCCCTCTGAACAAATGGTCATTCTTTGGGAGGAAAAAAAAAAAAAAATACAGCAAAATAAAGTCACTAAAATAATCCCTCAAGTACTTAAGAGAACATTTGCAGAATATGTAACTCTTACTAAATGTAAATGTTCTATAGCAAGGACATTAAGGTCCTTCTGTGGATTAGCCCTAACTGCTCTCAAGCAAATGATGTCTTTTCGAGGCTATACGGAATGGGGCTTGCAGGATCTCAACCGAGTCATCATACAAGTATATACTTGAAAAAAGACAACACGTAGGCATTTTAACTCTGAAAACTACATCGGCTCCAGTGACAGGTCCCCCACAGTAAAGTTTATGTGGTTCTTAATCAAGCACTTGCCAAATACTCCAAGCCACTGTGCCCAATTTATGCTTCACTCAAAACCCTTCAAACCTTGTTAAAAAGGTTCCCTAAAATTACAAAATATCCATCTGCAAAGCCCCTAAAAAGTACACAAACCTTTGCAGAGCTAATAAGAATTCTTTATAAACAATCCTAATGACTACAGTTCCTGAAACAGACACACAAGGCAGACTATAAATACATATATTTTTTAAAAAAGATTTTATTTATTTGACTGAGAGAGAGAGTGCGTGAGGACACAAGCAGGGGGACCAGCAAGCAGAGGGAGAGGGAGAAGGAGGAGAAGCAGGCTCCCCTCTAAGCAACAGCCCGACACGGGGCTTGATCCCAGGACCCCAGAATCATGACCTGAGGTGAAGGCAGACACTTAACCAACTGAGCCACGCAGGTGCCCCTAAATATTTTTAAAGTAAAGCAAAAAAGGAAATTTTTATTTTTCAAATCTTTTCTTTTAAAAACATAATTATAAATGTACATTTTTAAATGAATACGATCATACAACATATGCTATTATGCAATCTTTTCACATGTAATAATATGTCATAGGGGCACCTAGGTGGCTCAGTGGGTTAAGCCTCTGCCTTCGGCTCAGGTCATGATCCCGAGGTCCTGGGATCGAGCCCTGCATCGGGCTCTCTGCTCAGCAGGGAGCCTGCTTCCTCCTCTCTCTCTGCCTGCCTCTCTGCCTACTTGTGATCTCTGTCTGTCAAATAAATAAATAAAATCTTTAAAAAAAATAATATGTCATAGACATCTGTGTAAACACAGATAGACAGAGTCATCTATACCTTAATCTTTTAAAGGACTTTGAATAGGGGCACCTGGGTTAAGCATCGGACTCTTGATTTTGGCTCAGGTCATAATCTCAGGGTCATGAGATGGAACCCCACGTCAGGCTCTACATTGAGTGTGGATCCTGCTTAAGATTCTCTATCCCCCCTTCCTCCTTGCTCTCTTAAAAAAAAAAAAAAGACTTTAAATAACTTTTAAAATAAACTTTAAAAAGTGCAAATGTATCATAACTTAACCAGTTCCTCAAGAACACCCATTTGTTTCTAATGATTCCCTATTATAATAATGCTACAGTGATATATGCCCTTGTCCATGTATTTCTAATTTACTTATTTGGATAGTTCCTTAATTAGATACTTTCCTAAAAGTGTAATACCGGATCAAAGGATATAAACATTTTAAGTTTTGAGACTGACCCATAAAGACTATGAATTTGTACAAATACATTTGCACTTTCTCAATTACTGCGATGTTAGCTGTATTTTCATGAGCATATACTAACCATCTGTACTTCTTCCTCTGGACTTGCCTTTTCATTAAAGAGTAAGATTTTAACGTATCCATAAATGTGTTTTAAAGTTCAATGATGAATGACGGAAACAAACAGTACATAATTACGACACTAACAACTACTTGTACAGAATTTGCTCTCTATTTTATAAATATAATAGGAAAATCAGTACACTGAATATTTAGTGGTAAGCTGTACATATTTAAATACATACAGGGTTGAACAGTATCCCCCAAAATGCATGTCATCCTGGAATCTCAGGACATGACCCTGCAAATTTACAGATGTAACTAGTCGAGATCATACTGGATTGGGGACAGCCTAAATCCAAACAGTGGTGTCCTTATAAGAGGAGAGAACACACAGAGACACAGAAAGGCGGTGGCCATATGACAGAGACCAGAGTGACACACACAGCTCCAAGCCAAAGGACGCCAAGGCCCACCAGCAAACCCCAAAAGCTAGGTGAGAAGCTGGGAGCAGATTCTCCCTCAGAGCCCCCAGAAGGAATCACTATGGATGCCCCGATTTCCGAATTCCGGTCTCCTAAACCTGTTAGGCAGAAAATTTGTTCTCAGCCGCCCAGTTTGTGGTACTTTGTTGGCAGTCCTAGGAAACAGATACAAATGCACACCCAACAGTGATACAAAACTTCAAAAGTCGGGGTTTGAAAATGTTAAAAAGCTCTTCCTATCTCCTGGGATAACATGAAAGTGAATTTTTTTTTTTTAAGATTTTATTTATTGACAGAGATCACAAGCAGGCAGAGAAGCAGGCCGAGAGGGGGAGGAAGCAGGCTCCCCGCTGAGCAGAGAGCCCGATGCAGGGCTCAATCCCAGGACCCTGAGATCGTGACCTGAGCCGAAGGCAGAGGCTTTAACCCACTGAGCCACCCAAGTGCCCCTAAAAGTGAACTTTAAATTTTTTTTTTAAGATTTTTATTTATTTATATGACAGACAGAGATCACAAGTAGGCAAAGGGGCAGGCAGAGAGAGAACGGGAAGCAGGCACCCCACTGAGCAGAGAGCCCGATGCAGGGCTCGATCCCAGGACCCTGAGATCGTGACCTGAGCTGAAGGCAGAGGCTTTAACCCACTGAGCCACCCAGTGCCCCTAAAAGTGAATTTTAAAACAATGTTTTGAAACATTAAAATGTTTGAAAACATGGAGAAATGCCTTTGTGTATATTTCTACCCGATGACCTGAGAGCACGCTGAGGCTCAACTACATGAGGGAGTCACTGAAGCCGCCCCTCCCCAGCAGCCTCATTTAGGAACGCCCCAGACACCTCCCCTCCCAGTGATGAACAAACCCGACGTTAGGTTTGGTAAAGGTATGTCTAATGGTCTAATAAGAGTGTTAAAAGCCTAAGGGAACACATCACCTACATGCTCAACTTTCTCTCGACTCCACTCAAGAAAAGTCACTTGCAACTGCTTTTCAGGTAAAAGGTTCTAGCCCCAGTATTGCCTGAGCAGACTTCTCTCTAAAGCTAGACCCCAAATTCAGATTTCTGAATTGCCATCTAACAGGCTCTAGAAGTCTCCTGCTCAGGAAAGCCGCCAACCCCATAAAAACACCACACAGTGACAAACAGAGGGCAAAACTAAGTCTCTCAAACTCCGTTTCTTCTGCACTATGAAGACCAGCTGGAATGTAAATCTTAAACCGAACAAGCACATTAATGTTCTTGGATCAAATCAGTTAAATAAGTCGAAAATGATGTAGTTTATGTTTATTATGAGACTATGAAAAACTCCCACTTCAAAAGCCAAGTTCTCCTGGAAACTAAACATTATATACCTTTAAATTATTTCCCCAAAGTAACAGAAGAATTTCTATTTTAGCCCAATATGACTTTGGGGCAAAAAGAATCTAGATGTGGGATGCCTGGGTGGCTCAGTGGGTTAAAGCCTCTGCCTTCGGCTCGGGTCGTGATCCCAGGGTCCTGGGATCGAGCCCCGCATGGGGCTCTCTGCTCAGTGGGGAGCCTGCTTCCCCCTCTCTCTGCCTGCCTCTCTGCCTACTTGTGATCTCTGTCAAATAAATAAATAAAATCTTAAAAAAAAAAAATTAGATGTGCATCTCTACCCCGCCCCTCCGTCCCCACTTACTATTGGAGTGCTCTGAGCAAGTTCCTTAACTTTCCTAAGCCAGTTTCTCCATCTGTGAGATTAAAGGAGACCGTATCAGCTGATGGAATCACTGGGAGCATGAAGCAGGACAGTAAACTAGCCCAGCACTGCTGCTGTGGTCTCAATGTTTGTGTCCCCACCAAATTTGTATGTGGAGATCCTAACCCCTACAGGGGATGGTACTAACAGGTGGGGCAGGTATGAGCAGTGATTAGGCCATAGGGCAGAACCCTTGTGAACGGCACTAGCATGTTTATAAGAGACTCCACAGAGCTCCGTAGCCCTTCCATGCATGAGGGTAAAACCAGAAGTCTGAGAACAGGAAGACAGCCCTCTCCTGACCGTGCTGGCACCCTGACCCTGGACTTTCAGCCTCCAGAGCCATGAGAAATAAATGTCTGTTGTTGGTAAGCCACCCAGTGTAAGGCATTTTGTTAGAGCGCCCAAAGAGAAGCGGCGGGAGATACAGCGGAGCCTTGAGAAATGGCAGCTACTTCTACTGCTACTTTCCTGGTGCTGGAGAAGCTCAGGTAAGTTCGTAAACAAAGGGGCTAGTTTAACACACGTAAACTGAAGGCTGGGCATTACATGACTCAAGGCCTTAATGAATAAGGAACAAAAATAAGAGAATGGAATCCAAGAGTCCCGACTCTAATTTCTCTAAGCTGCTACCTAGTCACCACTTCCTGACATGCACATATGACCCAGCACCAGGCTCTGCACAAATCACAAAGATGAAAACACGCAGCCATGCCACGCATCACATTACCTTCCTTTTGGACACTTAATTGTACTTGATAAGTATCAGGTGACCAATGTTTAGTGTTCCTTTCTTTAGTGCTTTTATCTCTCGTAAGCCAGTAATTACAACAGGCCTCTTACACAGATCATTAATGAATCTGACCACCACCATGTCAGATGGAAAAGTTAAGGTGAACTCTAATGGTCACACCAAGGCAGAAGCAGAAACTGAAGCGGACTCTTGGTACCATTCTCTCTAAGTTAACATGCTGTCCCTCTGCAGCACTCGCTGGATCCATGCCTGACAATCTCTGGTCACTACTTAATTCCAAAAATTGAATCACAGGTCTAAAGTAACATAATTTGTAACACACCTTTCAATTTCCCATCAAAGTCAGGGCTTGTGGCCACCTGGAGTCCAGGGTGTGGTAGGAGAAAACAGGTGACGTTGGAGAAGCACGAGTGAATGTGATTTCGGACGTTCTGAATTTCCTCGTGTTGATGTTCTTTTACCTGCCAATGAAGACCAACAACTTACAAAAGACCATTTGTTTTTCTTCACTAAGAACCACTAGTATAGGACAAAGGAAAGATTTCCCAACTGAGATGGATCATAGCAGCCTATGTTTTGTCCAGTAAGAAAACTCAGAACCCTAGAAGCAATAAATGCATACATTTGATTAACCACAGTTTGGCTCCCACAGCAACCAAAGAACAGGGGCTTAAGAGTTTCTTAATAAACAGTATTGCACAACACTTCCGAAGAACGAGAGATGGTTTGTGGGCATGAAGGAGGATCTAACTAGTTAGTAGGAATTGACAAAGGACTCCTGTATTTTGATTTTGGAGAGCAAGCTAAGCCTGTTTATATCTAGCCCAAAACAGAATTTTGAAGAATAACAGAACAAAAGTTCTGAATATGACATTCTTTTTTTTTTTTTTTTTTTTTTAAGATTTTATTTATTTATTTGACAGAGATCACAAGTAGGCAGAGAGGCAGGAGGAAGCAGGCCCCCAGCTTCCCTGATGTGGGGCTCGATCCCAGGACCCTGAGATCATGACCTGAGCCGAAGGCAGAGGCTTTAACCCACTGAGCCACCCAGGCGCCCCTGAATATGACATTCTAAAGGCACATATAGAACCTGGTGCAAAATGTGAAACAGAAACCACGATCAAAGCTTGGGCCAGAATCCAGCGTCCTTCAAAATTCCTTCAAAGCCAGAGTCCTTGCCTGTAATCCCTATGTGCTCCATACCCAGGTTCTTCACTCCTACATGAATACCATTATGCACCAATATTCGTAAATATTTAACACACTTAACAGAATTTTCCATATTCTGCTTTAAATACTACAGCTAGAGGCAAATGAGAAAGTTACCACTACTTTCTTTATAGGTAATTCCTCAGATTATATTTCTACTTACCTGTAGACGTTTATCCAAAAAGGACATCCCTCCCTCTAGTCCGTAGCTGTATTCGTAAGGGAAACTCCAGTCTCGAACCAAAAACATCAGCGTCTATTTAGGAAAAAGAACAGAACATATTATTAGGTTGTATACATTCATTTTCAATATGACTAAAATACTTCTTTGCATAGAGCCAGCTTTTTCAAAGGGGGCAAGAAATTATGAAGGATTTATTTCTTCTGTAAAGTCTTAGAAACCTTATAAACACTAGAAGGACACGTGTAAGTCAAGTGTGAGGTGAATATATCCTATTGGCTGTTTTTGTTCCCATGGGTTGACAAAAGCAGAAGGAAGAGATTGAGAAGATATTAAATTCAGGACTCTGCTCTACAGGCAAGCATGAGGAATGTAGTAAAGGACAAGAAAACAACACAGTACCAGCTAATCATGAAATCAGATCTACTTTTAACATTAGAAAGAAAACTAAATAATAAATAATAGTACTTAAAGCTACCCTAATCTCATTGAGGTTACTATGCATTCTCATCCTTGTGAAGCAACTGGCTAAAGCAGGGGCCAGAAAACCTTTTCATAAAGGACCTAAGAGTAAATATCTTAAACTGCTGTAACAAACAGCAGCTATGGAGGACCCCTGGGTGGCCCAGTCGGTTAAGCGTCTGCCTTCAGCTCAAGTCACGATCTCAGGGTCCTGGGATCGAATCCCACATCAGGCTCCCTGTTCAGTTGCGAAATCCACTTCTCCCTCCGCCCCTGCTTGCACACGCTGTCTCTCAAATTAAGTAAATAAAATCTTTAAAAAAAAAAGAAAGAAAGAAAGAAAGAAAAGAATAGCAGCAGCTATAGACAAATGAGTGTAACTATGTTCCAATAAAATTTTATCTTCAACTTAAAAGTCAGTGTCTACAGCTAATTTATACATGTCATGAAATAGCACTTTCTTTTTTAAGATATTATTTATTTGAGGGACGCCTGGGTGGCTCAGTTGGTTGGACGACTGCCTTCAGCTCAGGTCATGATCCCGGAGTTCCGGGATCGAGTCCCACATCGGGCTCCCAGCTGCATGGGGAGTCTGCTTCTCCCTCTGACCTTCTCGCTCATGCTCTCTCTCACTGTCTCTCTCTCAAATAAATAAATAAAATCTTTAAAAAAAAAAAAGATATTATTTATTTGAGGGAGCAAGCAAACTAGAGAGAGAAAGCTTGAGCAGCAGGGAGGCAGAGGGAGAAGGAGAAGCAGGTTCCCTGCTGAGCAGGAAGCCAGATGCGGGAGACTTGATCCCAGAACCCTGGGAGGATCATGACCAGAGCCAAAGGACACCCAAGTGGCCCAATAGTATTACTTTTTTAATTTCAACCATTTAAAAATATAAAAACTATTCTTAACTCATAGGTCACATAAAAACAGACAGCTAGCCTGATGTGGCCTGTGAGCTACAGTTTGCTGATCTCTGAACTAAAACAAAGACATGAGGGGCACCTGGGTGGTTCAGTCAGTTAAGCATTCAACTCTTGGTTTTGGCTCAGGTCATGAGCTCAAGCCCAATGTGGGGCTCAGAGTCTGCTTGAGATTCTCTCTCGCCCTCTACCCTCCCCCAACTCGCAGGCACACCCTCTAAAATAAATAAATCTTAAGAAAAATAAAATAAAACAAAGACATGAATTACATTTACAGTTAGCATTCTACCTGGAAGGGTTTTTGGAAAATTTCATCCATAGCCAGACGACCGTATTCTGTGAAGAGCTTTAAAAAAGAAGAGTTAATGGTTGGTTTGTTAGGTAAATTATTTAAAGTATTTCTATGGCTATTATTTAGCGATGATTCCATTTAACAGACTCAATACTACTATGAGACCAAAGTTCTAGAGTTTCAAAAGGCTGGAGAGCCATGAACCTTAAGATAATCTGTTATTCTTCTGTCTCACATTCCATGTCCCAATTCATTAACAAACCCAGAATCCAACCACTCACAGCTCCCAAGTGGCTTGGAATATTACAACAGCTTCCTAACCGGTCTCCCTGCCTCAGTCCTTGCTCCATCCCCAGACTATCCGCAGGACAGCAGCCACAATGGCTCTGTTATACGGTCAGTTAAATCATATCGTGCCTCTGCTTAAAACCCTCCAACCTCACAGTAGAAAAGCCAGTCCCTTCCAGTGAGATCTGGCTTCCCTGGCCCTCCTCACTCTTCCTCAGATACGCTGTGCACACTGCTGCCTTAGAGCCTTTGTTCCAACTCCTCCTTCTGCTGTAAAGTTCTCCCCAGATAACTGCACAATCCACTTCTTCGCCTTTTGCCGTCTTCACTCAAATGGCTCCTTCTTACAGAAGCCTTCCCGACCATCCGTCTCAGAGATTACAAGTTTCCCCACAATTCTTCTTACTCCACATCTCTTTTAAATATCTTTTCTTAACCCATCTCACTATCTAACATACTATATCTTTACTTATTTTGATTAGTTTCTGTCCTCACTACTAGAATTTGTGCTCCAGGAAGGCAAGATGTTGGTCTGCTCCCTGCACTACTGCATCTCTGGCAGCAGGAAGAGCACTGGGCCCAGAGCATGGACGCCAGGCAAAGGACCAAATGACCACATTCCCTAAGGTCAGGGCTTACAAAGACATTCATCTCTATGTCCTCATGAAGCCTCTCACTAAAAATATAGCAAAATGAAGTTCAAAAGTTATAAACTCACAGGACAAAGGGGATGAGAAACGATATGGCAACAAAGAAGAGTTGTCATAAACACTCTGGAAGGAAAACGGACGAATGAAAACTATCTCAGGTTTTGGCTTTCTCTGCCTTATCTGTGACAGACAGGCCAACAAGAAACAAGCAGATTCTCTCAGCAGAATCCCCGACAGGCTCAGAAATTAGAAGCACCAGCCACCATGAAGGAGGGAGTGAGGGAGCAGGGCTAACAACTAAAGAAACATTAAAAGTCTTCGGAGAGAGGACCTATACTCCCAGATCCTGCTCCTTCCCTGTGCTCCAAATCCTCTTCCTGCCCCCACAGAAGATGGGAAGTGTGCTGTCTGGAGGGGATAAACCAGAAAGAACTTACACTTTGATACCTCAGCCAAAAGGAGTAAGGTAAGTACCCTACTTTACTGGAAATGGGCACTTAGGTCAAGGTCTATATACCAAACAGTGAGACTCAGCCTCCCAACCTGTCGGAGCCACACCAAGCTTCTACCCACCCAGGCAGGAGTTTCACGAATTCTCTGGGGGAAATGACAGCCCCGGAACATGTTGCAAACAGACATTCAGGGGTTGCAACAAAATACAGTCACCTCACTGTGATCCGAAGCAGTCACAAGGTCGACCCTCTTGCCAAAGGTCCCAGTCAGATTTTTAACAGTTCACTCTTAAATACACATGGCCAAGGACACCAGACCTTTGAGAAAAGCTACTAGCAAGAAAGACGAAAACCTGTGTCCTTCAATTCCAGAATATCATATTATTCCTTTTATAATTTCTTTCCCTCCATTTTCTGTTATGTTTTACTAAAACATCTCTCATTATTAACAGACACAACCTCTCCCGAACTGGTGCTCCAATTTCCCTTGTCTGCTGTGCCCTCCCATTCTCCCTCTCCTCCACCTCGCCCTCTCCTCTCTTCCCTTTTTCCCTCTTCTCTCCTCCCCCACCCTGCCCTTCTCTCTCTGCTTCGCTCCCTCTGGTGTGACTTCTGCTCTGTCCTTTCATTCAGCCCGCCAGGGAGATTTTCTCCAATTTAGCTTCCATCTCCTTCTCTACTGAAGTTTCCAAATTTACTGACACAGTGTTCATTTCCAAGTTTTTGTTTGTTTTCTGAATGTTGCTTTTTAATAGCATCCTGTTTTTTCTTGGTGCAACAGCTGCAACATTTTATCTTGCTGAACATATGCATTTACAAAGAATGAAGAAAAAGCCCACACCAAGGTACATTACCATGAAAATTCATGTCAAGAATAAGATCTTAAAAGCTTCAGATAGAAAAAGGTCACATACAAAGGATCAGATGGTGTGGGACTTGAGCAGCAACACTGGAAGCTGGAAGGCAATGAAGCAATGCCCTCAATTCTAAAAGAAAATTAATTCTATCCTGTAATTCTACAATAAAATTAAAATATTCTCAGACTTACAAGAACTCAAAAAAGTTATCTCCTATGTATCCATTCTATCCTTTCTCAGAAAGCTAGTGAAGAATGTTTAGAATTAAGAATAAACCTCCCCCCAAAGTGGGGGGGGGGATAAACAAATAAAAGATTAAATAGGGTGCAACTGCAAAAGGAACTGAAAAGAATTCCCAGGCCCTGATTTCAAGCTGTATTACAAAGGTATAGTAATCAAAACAGTATGATATTGGAACAAGAACAGACACACAAATCAATGGAACAGATTAACTTTCTATTCTCCAAAAAATAAACCCCTGCATATATGATCCATTGACTTTATGAAAAGGAAGCCAAGAACATACAACTAGTCAAGGACAGTCTCATCAACAAATAGTGCTGGGAAAACTGGACAGCTACACGCAAAAGAATGAAACTGGACCATCTTCTTACACCACACACAAAAAGTAACTCAAAATGGATCAAAGACTTGGACATAAAACCTGAAACCATAACACTCTTAGAAGAAAACATAGGTGGTGGGGCGCCTGGGTGGCTCAATGGGTTAAAGCCTCTGCCTTCAACTCAGGTCATGATCCCAGGGTCCTGGGGTTGAGCCCCTCATCGAGCTCTCTGCTCAGGGAGCCTGCTTCCTCCTCTCTCTCTGCCTGCCTCTCTGCCTACTTGTGATCTCTGTCTGTTGAATAAATAAATACAACCTTAAAAAAAAAAAGAGGAAGAAGAAGAAAACACAGGTGGTAAGCTTTCTGATGTTAAGTCTCAACGATTTTTTGGATTTGGCAACAAAAGCAAAGGAAGCAAAAGCCACAATACACAAGTGGAACACATGAAACTAAAAGCTGCACAGCAAAGAAAACCACCAAGAAAATGAAAAAGCAACCTACCAAGTGAGAGAAAATATTTGAAAATCATTTTTCAGATAAGGTTAACAGCCACAGTATATAAAGAATTCATACACCTCAACAGGAGAAAACAAAAAACAAAAACCCCACAATCCAATTTAAAAATGGGCAGAGGGTCTAAACAGACATTTTGCAAGGACCCATCTGGCCCTTCATGGCCAATGGGTACATGAAAAAATGCTCACCATCAATAAACTAAGAAATGAAAATAAAAACCATAATGAGAAACCTCCTCACACCTGTTAGAATGAATATTTACCAAAAAGAAAAATATTAAGTGTTGGTGAGAATGTGGCAAAAAGGGAACCCTTGGGCACTTGGGTAGCTCAGCTGGTTAAGCGACTACCTTCGGCTCGGGTCATGATGCCAGGGTCCCAGAACTGAGTCCCACATCAGGCTCCAAGCTCAGCAGAAGTCTCCTTGTCCCTCTGACCTCCTCCCCTCTCATGCTCTCTCTTATTCTCTCTCAAATAAATAGATCTTAAAAACAAAAACAGGGGTGCCTGGGTGTTTCAATGGGTTGGGCCTCTGCCTTCGGCTCAGGTCATGGTCTCAGGGTCCTGGGATCAAGCCCCGCATCGGGCTCTCTGCTCAGCAGGGAGCCTGCTTCCCTTCCTCTCTCTCTCTCTGCCTGCCTCTCTGCCTACTTGTGATCTCTGTCTTCAAATAAATAAATAAAATCTTTAAAACAAAACAAAACAAAAACAAACGAACCCTTGTCCACTGTGGGCAGACATTTAATTGATGCAACTATCATGAAAAACAGTATGGAAGGTCCTTAAAAAATTAAAAATGAGGGGTGCCTGGGTGGCTTAAAGCCTCTGCCTTCAGCTCAGGTCATGATCCCAGGGTCCTGGGATCGAGCCCCGCATCGGGCTCTCTGCTCAGCAAGGAGCCTGCTTCCCCCCTCTCTCTGCCTGCCTCTCTGCCTACTTGTGATCTCTGTCTGTCAAATAAATAAACACAATCTTTAAAAAAAAAAATACAGGGGCGCCTGGGTGGCTCAGTGGGTTAAGCCTCTGCCTTCGGCTCAGGTCATGATCCCAGGGTCCTGGGATCGAGCCCCGCGTCGGGCTCTCTGCTCAGCAGGAAGCCTGCTTCCCCTCCTCTCTCTTTCTCTCCCTGCCTGCCTCTCTCCCTACTTGTGATCTCTCTCTCTGTCGAATAAATTAAAAAAAAAAAAAAATACAGAAACGACTAGAGTGACAGATGTCCTATTACTAATTGATAGAGCTAAATTCAGCCTCTATGAAGAAGGGTTAGAACGAAGGAGGATCTCCACCAGGACACGTTATTGGCAACAGGGTCTTCACAGAGGTAATCACATTAAGATGAGGTCATCGGGGTGAGCCCTAAGCCAACATGACCAGTGTCCTTATAAAAAAAAGTCACACAGATACAGGGAGAAGAATGCAATGTAAAGACAAAGAGACATGCAGAGGGAAGGCAGAAGCAGAGACTGAAGGCCTACAGCGAAGGCCAAAGAATGCCAAGGACGGCCGGCAGACCAGCAGGAACCAGGAAGGTCAAGCACGAACTCTTCCCCACAGGCTCAGGAGGGTGCGGCCCCGTGAACAGCTTGAGTTCTGACGACCGGACTCTAGAACTGTGGGATTTTGTTACAGCAGCCCTCACACATCACCCGGGCCTACTCATGAGGACCTCTGACCGACTGATGACACGATCCATAAAGAACTACGTCACCTCAAACATGAGTGTGTCTGGGGCACGGGGTCCACAGCCGCACACGGCTCGGTGGTCAAAAACGTGTGCGAAACGAAGGAGAATACAAAGAAGTGTCAGGTGAAAAGGTGTAAAACTCGGGTCTTGCTGGAAATGTTTCAGGAACAACAGCTCCCAACCCCCAGAGCAGAACCGCCAGTTATAAAGTACAAGCCAAAGTTGAGGAATTCATTTTCTTTGCTTTTTAAAGGACTATAAATTAGAGCTAACTCAAAGTGATCCCCATAATAAATGACACCCATACTGCTCTGCAGGTCGATATGTTTTCTTGAGTGTCAAAGGGATAAGTGAGATCAGAAAAACATGCCAAGAATTGCATTCAACTCTGGAATACCCCTGGAAGAGTATTTTACAGGAATAACATGTAAGAAGGGCTGCATGGAGAACAAAAGACAACGACTAATAGTAGTAGTAGTAACAGTAATAATAAATAACGGCTCACAGTTATTAAGCACATACTCTTTTCTAGGCACATAATGCTATGCATTTTATAAATGACATTCCTAGCCTCACCTGGATTTTTGCAAAGCGTCACTGAATGCACACCTGTCCCTATATATCTAAACAGCCAGAGTGATCCTCTGCTCAAATATCGCTCCTCTCCTCAAAACATGCCTCCTGGGACGCCTGGGTGGCTCAGTTGGTTAAGCAGCTGCCTTCGGCTCGGGTCATGATCCCAGCGTCCTGGGATCGAGTCCCACATCGGGCTCCTTGCTCATCAGGGAGCCTGCTTCTCCCTCTGCCTCTGCCTGCCATTCTGTCTGCCTGTGCTTGCTCTCTCTCCCTCTCTCTCTCTCTGACAAATAAATAAATAAAATCTTTAAAAAAAAAAAAAAAATGCCTCCTATATCCATTCCCTGTGACGAAAAGCCCAAGCCCTTGGCAAAGGTCAGGCATCAGCAGGACCTAAATGCCTCTCTGACTTTATCACTAAGCCTCCTCCTGTCACAGGGCACCTGGGTGGCTCAGTGTGAAGAGCCTGACTCTCGATTTTTGCCTCAGGTCATGATCTCAGGGTTGTGAGATCGAGGCCCACATCAGGCTCTGCACTCAGCAGGGAGTCTGCTTAAGATTCTCCCTCTCCTGTCCCTCCGCATCGTGTGCACACACACAGGCACACACACACACAGACACAAGCCTCCTCCTATCATACCTCCTAGTCCTAACCACTGGCCTCCTTGCTGTTCCTCGATCCTGCCAAGCACCCTCCAGTTCAGGTCTTTCTTCTTGGTGCCCCCTGTCCTATACCACTTCCTCCCCAGATATACAGCAGGACTTTCTCTCTCTCTTTCTTGGGTTCTGTGCTCAACTCAGTAAGGCCTTCCCTGATTATCCCACAGTAACAGGGTGCAGGACCACTGTGAGCCAAAACCTCCTACCCATAGTTCTATCCATTACTAAACCTATTCAGCTTTAAAATTTCCCTTAGTCTTAAAACTTTTAAATGATACATTATGACGTTAAACTTTTTATGATGCATACATACCTGTAGCTGCTGAAGATCGTCTTCCTGAATGTTCTGGGACAAATTATAAATCTAGAAAAGAAAAATCCAGATTGATAACCACTCTCTAGCTTCACTTCAAAGGAATCCCAAATAAGCCTAGAGCATTGGAAAGAAGCTTTGCACAACTGAAGGTTTACACGTAAGAGCATGAGGTCTGTTCAAACAATATTACCTGTCTTTTGGAAAACTATGCATATAATGTTGAAACCACCTAATTCTTCCTTTACAGCTTAAAATCAGTTTTCCTAAGTTCTTACCAAATCTCTATTTCCTGTGTAATTAAAGTAATTTCAATTTCCACTTTTCAGACTCTTCTTGGAGTATTTTATACATACTTATAACCGAACTGGAAAAACAGTTAAGCTCTTTCTTGAGCTTAATTTATACCTATAGCCTAAAAAGAACATTTACATATCATCTAGGCATTCTGATAACAGAACTGAAAACGGATATACTCTCCCTTTGCCTTATTTCCTCTACAAACTTTTAGCTTAATCAAGTGGTGATACCTGAACAGAACTAGTCATGGTACTTAGAGCGAAGATGGTGGCACAGTCCTTCACAGTAGACTGGCTGTCAAATGCCCCCTGGGTATCCATCAGAACAACTGCGACCTAAGAGAAAGGGAAATACCAACAAGATATGTTAGAGCGAGAAGGGGAAAAACACAGAGAAGAAACTGAGAAGTACAGGTAACAATTAAATGAGGCTTTGGCACCTGTTTGTAATTCTACAGAAAAGTAGTTATTGAAGTGCCTTGTCTTGATCGGAGAATTTTCCTGGAGATTATCTGCTCTGGCCTGATGAGATGGTATGAAACAGAGACCCACAGAGCCCCACCAATTAAAAGAGTCAAATGTTGAGACCAATTATCTCACTTACCAAGCCAGTCATTCAGATATTTTTATTCACAAAAGTAATAATATGATTATCACTTTTCTGTTACTTATATATCAGGTCCCATTAATCTCATTTTATATTTTTGAATTTTCATACCCCTAATCCCCACTGTGATAGAACCAATGTAAAAATCCACACAAAAGAAAGCATTATGCCGAATAGAAAGATAAGATCAAACCAAATAAAGTTTCTAGCCAGCCTCAAACAAAATTAAAAAAATTTAAATTAAAAAAAAAAAAAGCTTTTATATTGCAAAGTTAAAGATCAACAAAACAAAAAGGCACCACAGAATAGGAGAAAATATCTGCAAATGATGTATCTGGTAAGGGGTTAATACCTAAATATATAAAGAACTTCTACAACTCAACACCAAAAAGGAAACATTCTGATTAAAAAGTAGGCAGAGGATCTGAGTAGACGTTTTTCCCAAAAAGACATACAAATGGCCAACAGACACATGAAAAGATGCTCAACCTCATTAATAATCATCAGGGAGATACAAATCGAAACCACAATGAGGTATCAGTCAGAATGGACAGTATCAAAAAGAAATAACAAGGGGTGCCTGGCTGGCTGAGTGGGCAGAGCACGCAACTCTTGATCTCAGGGTCATGAGTTCGAGCCCCACACTGGTATAGGGATTAATAATAAAAAATAAAATTAAAAAATAAGTGCTGGTGACATTGTGAAGAAAACAGAACCCTCATACGCCGTTGGTGAAAATGTAAACTGGTGTAACCACTGTGGAAAACAGTATGTAATTTCCTCAAAAAATTAAAAATAAATAACAAGTGTTGATGAGGACGTGGAGAAAAAAGAACACTCAACCATCATCGGCAGGAATACAAACTGGTACAGCTACCTTAGAAAACCGTAGGGAGGTTCCTCAAAAAAACTAAAAATAGAAATACCATATGATCCAATTAGTTCCACTACTGGGTATTTACCCGAAGAAAACGAAAACACTAACATGAAAAGGTACATGCACCCACCCTGTGTTTATTGGGGCCTTATTTACAAGAGCCAAGATATGGAAGCAGCCCAAGTGTCCACCAATACATAACTGGATAGAGAAGATGTGGTATACATCTTTGAATATTACTCAGCCATAAAAAAAGAAAAAAAGAGAGATCTTGCCATTTGCAACAACATGGATGGACCCAGTTAGTATTAAGCTAAGTGAAATAAGTGAGACTTAGAAAGACAAATACAATTTCACTTATATGTAGAATCTAAAAAACAAAACAAAAGTACTCTTGAATACAGAGAACTAGTGGTTGCCAGAGGGAGGTGGATAGGAGGACAGATGAAATAAGTGAAGGGGACTAAGAGGTACAAACTTCCAGTAATAAAAGAAGTTAAGAAGATGAAAAGTACAGCATGCGGAATATAATCAATGATATTGTAATAACACTGTGTGGCAACAGATGAGGACTACACTTACCACAGTGAGCAATGAATAATGTACAGAACTAACAAATCAAGAGGTTGAAAGTAATCTAACAGTTACGTTATATGTATCTCAATTATACTTCAAGAATTAGAAAAGAGGGGCGCCTGGGTGGCTCAGTGGGTTAAAGCCTCTGCCTTCGGCTCGGGTCGTGATCCCAGGGTCCTGGGATCGAGCCCCGCATCGGGCTCCCTGCTCAGCGGGGAGCCTGCTTCCCCCTCTCTCTCTGCCTGCCTCTCTGCCTACTTGTGATCTCTCTGTCAAATAAATAAATAAAATCTTTAAAAAAACAAAAAAAAAGAATTAAAAAAATTTTTTTTAATTAGAAAAATAAAACCACCATGAGATACTACTTCCCATCTATGCTGACTATAATCAAAAAGACAAACAAGATCAGGTGTGGCAAGCATATGGCAAGCCTGGGAGCTTCCTGCATTTCCAGTGAGAATGCAGGGTGCTACAGCTGCTTTGGGAAGCATTTCTGCAGTTTTTTGAAGGTTAGCTATGGAGTTCCCATACAACCCAGAAACTCTACTATATTCCCAGAAGTAATGAAAACAAGCTTAATCATACAACTCGGGACGCCTGGGTGGCTCAGTTGGTTAAGCAGCTGCCTTTGGCTCAGGTCATGATCCCAGCGTCCTGGGATCGAGTTCCACATCGGGCTCCTTGCTTGGCGGGGAGCCTGCTTCTCCCTCTGCCTCTGCCTGCCATTCTGTCTGCCTGTGCTCGCTCTCTCTCCCTCTCTCTCTGACAAATAAATAAAATCTTTAAAAAAAAAAAAAATCCTACAACTCATCAGGAAGGAAAGATTATTCTAATTAGAATAATCTAATTAAATAAAGGACTTGAATAGACATTTCTCCAAAGATGACATACGAATGGCCAACAGGTATGTGAAAAGGTATTCAATATCACTCATCATCAGGAAAACACAAATCAGGGACGCCTGGGTGGCTCAGTCCATTAAGCAATTGCCTTACGCTCAGGTCATGATCCCAGGATTCTGGGATCGAGCCCATCATCGGGCTCCCTGCTCAGTGGGAAACCTGCTTCAACCTTTCCCCTTGCTCATGCTCTCTCACTACCTCTCTCTCAAATAAAAATAAATAAAATCGAAAAAAAAAAAAAGGAAAATACAAATCAAAATCACAATGAGATACCCATTTTAGTAGGTGTGAAAGGGTATTATCAAAAAACAAGAGAAATAGGGGCACCTGGCTGGCTCAGTCGGTAGAGCAGGTGACTCTTGATCTCAAGGGTCATGAGTTCAAGCCCCAGGCTGGGCACAGAGATTACTTTGAAAAAAAGAGAGAAATAAGTGTTGGTGAGGATGTGGAGAAATCAGAGCCTCTGATCATACAGCTGCTATGGAAAATAGAATGGAGATTCCTCAAAAAATTAAAAAGAGAACTACTTGGGGCGCCTGCGTGGCTCAGTCAAGTGAAGCATCTGCCTTTGCCTCAGGTTATGATGCCACGTACTGGGATCAGGCCCCACATTGGGCTCCCTGCTCAGTGGGAAGCCTGCTTCTCTCCTCTCCTACTCCCTCTGCTTGTGTTCCCTCTCTTGCTGTGTGTCTGTCAAATAAATAAATAAAATCTTTTTTAAAAATAATAATAAAAATTAAAAAATAAAAATAGAACTACTTTATGATCCAGCAAATCCTCTTTGGGCATATACCCCCCAAAATTCAGACCAGTATCTCGAGATACCTCCATTCCCAGATTCACTGCCACATGATTCACAACAGCCCAGACATGGAAACAATCATCAGTTGATGAAAGAATAGAGAAAATGTGGTATCTACCTACAATGGAATACCACTGAGCCTTAAAGAGGAAGGAATCCTGCCATGTGTGACAACACAAATGAACCTGGAGGATATTAACTGAGATAAGCCAGTCACAGAAGGACAAATACTTCTTGATTCCACTTATGTGAGGTATCTAAATAGTCAAACTCAGAGAAATAGAGAGTAGAATGGTGGTCGGCAGGGGAGAAGGGGAAACGGGACTTGTTTAATGGGTATAAAGTTTCTGTGATGCAAGACGGATGGGTTCTTGAAATCTGCTACACAACACGGTGCCCATAGCTGACAATATTATACCGCACACTTGAAATGTTATTAAAAGGGTACATCTCGTGTTAAGTGCCCTTACCACAGTAAAAACAAGGAAGAAGAAAGGATATGTTCACACCCATACTTGTACATGAATGTTCATGGTAGCATGATTCGTAATAACCACAAAGTAAAAATGACCCAAGCATCCTTCAAATGATGAAAAGATAATGTGTGACACGTCCACACAACACAGTATTGTGCAGCCACAAGAAGAAATGAAGTACTGATGCATTCTACGTCGTGGGTGGGTCTTGAGGGCACTGGGCTGGAATCACCAGCACCGGGCTGGTTGGGTAGAGGGGTCAGGGAGGCCAGACACAGAGACCACAGATTTTATGACTCTGTTTGTATGAAATGCCCAGAAGAGGCAAAGAGATCCGTGGAGAAGGAAAGTAGATCAGTAGTGGCCAGGGGCTGGGATAGGAGGGAAATGGGGAGTGACTGCTAATGAGTAGTGAGTTTCTTTCTGGAGTGATGAAAATTTTCCAGAAGTAGATGGTGGTGATACTTGCTCAGCCTCATGACTACACTAAAAACTGCTGAATTATGTACTTTTAAAGCATAAATTTTATGATATGTGACTTAGATCTCAATGAAAAAGAGCTCAAACTGGCATATATTTACTAACTAGAAAAATAAGCCTGTATCAGGGAAACAAGAAGACTAGAGACAGGCTCTTGAGGAACAGGAGTCATACATACACTCAGATAAAGTGCTGGATATTTGGGGGAAATGGTATTCTTTTCATGCAGTGAAATGGTAAACTGTCATAAACACTGTCAAGAACAATTTGGCAGAAGCTAGAAAAAGGCGGAATGGGCCTCTCGGACCTAGCCATTCCACTTCCAAGTGGCTTTCTAATGTTCTGAACCAGAACACAGAGAAAGAAAAGTATACTTAACATTCTGACTAAATACACACATACATAAGGCTAAAACTAAATTTATCTGTGTACTGCATTCTAACACTTTTCTACTGTTCTAGTTGTTTTTTTTTTTTAAGATTTTATTTATTTGACAGACAGAGATCACAAGTAGGCAGAGCAGCAGACAGAGGTAGAGGAAGAAGCAGGCTAGAGCCCGATGCAGAGCTCGATCCCAGGACCCTGAGATCATGGCCTGAGCCAAAGGCAGACGCTTAATCCACTGAGCCACCCAGGCACCCCTCTAGTTTTTTCTTTTTAAATACTGGTCATGAGGGGCACCTGGGTGGCTCAGTGGGTTAAACCCTCTGCCTTCAGCTCAGGTCGTGATCTCAGGGTCCTGGGATCGAGCCCCACATCAGGCTCTCTGCTTGCAGGAAGCCTGCCTCCCCCTCTCTCTCTGCCTGCCTCTCTGCCTGCTTGTGATCTGTCAAATAAATTTAAAAAAAAAAAAAAAATACTGGTCATGAGTCAATAAATTCATTTCTCTACCATTAATGGGTCATGGTCAGAGTTCAAAGAACCTGGAGTCACGCTTGCACTCAAGGTGACATTTAACAGATCATTCACTGTAGCAAGGATTATAAAAATTTAAAAAAAAAAGAAAGAAACAATCTACATGTTCACCAGTGGGTAAATGGGCAAATAAAAGAAGATATATTCATATGAAGACTACCACATAACAGTTAAAAAGAATAAACTGGAGCCACATATTTAAGAATGTAGATTTTCAATTAAAAAGTAAAAACAAATAATCTACTTTAAAGATTTTATTTAAGAGAGGAAGAAAGAATGCACAAGCAGAGGCTTGACATCATCATCCCGAGATCACGACCTGAGCCAGAATTAAGAGTCAGATACTTGACCAACTGAGCCACCACCCAGGCGCCCCCCCCAAAATAACTATTTCTTTAGCCAGATAAACTGTAAGCTAAAATCTCACCAGCTATATTAAAAAACAAGAAAACCACGCAAAACTGTTATTTGGGTAACTTCTAAAGAACTGCTTATTCGTATGACATTTACCCAATATTATATTGATTTTTGAAAGCTCTCCTGATCCTGCTGAATGTCTGAACACAGTATTTTTTAAAAGAGTAGAAATGCAACAGTGAGCTACCCCTACACCTCTACCGGAATGGCAAAAATTGAGAAGACTGACAACATCAAATGCAGACAAGGATGCAGAACAAGAGAACTTTCACATTCGTTGCTGGAAAAAATGCAAAATGATACAGGTACTTTTCAGTTTGACAGTTTCTTACAAAACTAAATATCACCTTGCCATACAATCCGACAATCGTGCGCCTTGGTATTTACCCAAATTAGTTGCAACTTATGTTTCAACACAAATGCTTACACAGCAGCTTTATTCATAATTGTCAAAACTGGAAGCAAACAAGAAGTCTTTCAGTAGGTGAATGGATACACCGTGGTACGTTCAGACAATGAAATATTATTCAACGATAAAAAGAAAAGAGCTATCAAGTTATAAAAAAAGTGAGGAACCATGAAAGCACACTGCTAAGTGAAAGAAGGCAATCAGAAAAGACTACATGTTGTATGATTCCAACTACATGACATTCTAAAAAGGCAGATTTCTGGAGACAGTGTGAAGATCAGTTGTCGCCAGGAGTTGAGGAGGAGGCGGGAGCAAACAGGTGGAGCACAGAGGGTTTTCGGGCAGTGTTCCTACTGTCTGAAACAGCAACAGCGGCTGCACACTATTACACACTTATCAAAACCCAGAGAACATAAACACAAAGAGGGAACCCTAATGCAAACCATGGGCTTTAGTTAATAATAGAATATCAATTATTAGTTCATTGGGGCGCCTGGGTGGCTCAGTGGGTTAAGCCTCTGCCTTCGGCTCAGGTTATGATCGCAGGGTCCTGGGATCGAACCCTGCATTGGGCTCTCTACTCAGGGAGGAGCCTGCTTCCCCCTCTCTCTGCCTGCCTGCCTCTCTGCCTACTTGTGATCTCTGTCTCTCTGTCAAATAAATAAATGAAATTAAAAAAAAAAATACTGGATCATTAATTATAACAAATGCATCACACTAATACAAGATATAAATAGTAGAGAGAAACTGGCAAGGGGAAGGGCCATCTGGAAACTCTGCATTTTCTGATCAACTTTTCTATAAACCTAACGCTGTCCTAAAAAATAAAGTCTATTAATGTTTCTAAAGGTCAGGAAACCAAAATGATGTCAAAAAAATTGAGCTTTATAAAGGAGTCAATTCAACAAGATTAAAAAAAAAATGAGGACATTACAAATTTTAGATAACTAAAAGCAAAGCTTGCTCACTACTAAGAGTGTAAAGATTTCCTAAACGATTATGAAAATAGAGCAGTTAGTTGCCCACCAATTCTAAAGAAAGGGATCATATGGTGAAAAATAATTCTTTATTCCTAAAAAGAAAATTATGAAAGCATCTACCACACATTACCAGAAAAGGAGAAAGAGAGCAATGATACAAAACAATAGGACTAAAATGAAAACTGTAGGCCTGTTGAAATGCCAGATCGAAGAGCAGCTGTATTACTGACAGCTGTGAAAGCATGCTTTAGGACAGAACTAAAAACAGAAGGAATGGGTTAAAATCTGTTTAAGAAACAGCGACACCCCCAAATTCTCTCTGCCACTTTGAGGAGACACAGGACAGGACTTGCTCCGGACAAAAAAATGTGGGGGAGGCTATAGGACAGTCACTTACTGGACACAGAAGAAATGGGGTAAGAGGTCTACTGATGGCTGGGGGGAGCAGGTGGGGTGCTCACATCTGCATGTGAGATGCCCTAGTGTCCTGTATCTGCTCAGCTCCCACAAGAGTGGCAGCCAGGTCTATGCTACCTTCACAGGAGTAAGAAAGTAAAGAAGAGAAGTAACATCTGAAACACTTGAGGTCATTAACCCTTGGGAAGTGAAAACAAGCAGAGGGAAGAACAGGGCACTTGATAGCTACCTTTTGATTCTGATAGCTACTATTTGTTAGAAACGTTATATTACTGAGGTGCCTTGGTGGCTCAGTCGGTTGGGCATCTGCCTTTGGCTCAGGTCATGATCCCAGAGTCCTGGGATGGAGCTCCACGTAGGGTTCCCTGCTCAGCAGGGAGCCTGCTTCTCCCTCTGCCCCTCCCCCTGCTCATGTGTTCTTCCTCTCTCTCAAATAAATCTTTTTTAAAAATTTTAAAAAATAGGGGTGCCTGGGCGGCTCAGTGGGTTAAAGCCTCTGCCTTCAGCTCAGGTCATGATCCCAGGGTCCTGGGATCGAGCAGCAACTCTGCTCAGCAGGGAGCCTGCTTCCTCCTCTCTCTGCCTGTTTCTCTGCCTACTTGTCATTTCTGTCTGTCAAATAAATGAATAAAATCTTTTTAAAAAAAAGTTTAAAAAAAATTTTTTTAAATAAAAAAAAAAGAAACCTTATATTACTATTTGACCTTTTAAAATATACTCGTGTAGGCGCCTGGGTGGCTCAGTGGGTTAAGCCTCTGCCTTCAGCTCAGGTCATGATCTCAGGGTCCTGGGATAGAGCCCCATGTCGGGCTCTCTGCTCAGCAGGGAGCCTGCTTCCTTCTTCTCTCCCTGCCTGCCTCTCTGCCTACTTGTGATCTCTTTCTCTCTGTGTCAAATAAATAAATAAAATCTTAAATATATATATATATATACTCGTGTTATTTTTAAACCATGCACTTACATTATTTTCAGATGAATTATCAGAGTACACATTAAAGTTCTTGTCCTGTTGTTGTTTTTGTTAATTAACAAGTCTTTTCTTCCTTACCTTCTTCCCACCGGGCTTCTCCACAGTAAAAACTTCACTCCAGATCTGAATCCCTGTTGTTTCTGGGTCAGAGCCCCCTCTCCATGAAAACCCTGTTAATGGTTCTTCTGAGTCACCCAACCAATTTGAATGACCACCTTCCTTCTATAGGGAAAAAAAAAAGAAATCTCCATTAAGTCTTAAATTTTGAGTAATTTTACATATCAAGGATAATCAACGAGCTTATTTTGCTCTTTTGGACACAAAAGTCTCATTTTCCAATCTGAAATGAAACAATTCTAGTTTACCTGGAAATATAAATATCGTAGCATGAAGTCCAGGAAGAAGGACTTGCCCTTTCGGAAGGCACCAGCCACCGACACCACCACCACATCAAGGTCTCGGATGTGGTCCTGTAAAAGAATGCTGGCCAAGGCTTTCTCTTCTAACTCATAGGAATGCTGGTCTTTCTGAACCAAAACAACCTGCACTGGGCCAGGCTTTCCACTCTCCATGGCATCACCTAGATTGTTGTAGAGGAAAAAAAAATTAGTTTCAAATCTTTTTTAAATTTGTATTTTTGAACATGGGAAAAGCAAAAATTTTTAAATGACACAAAAGCACAAACAATAAAAGAAAAAATGACAAATTAGACTCCATTAAAATTAAGAGTTTTTGTTCATTAAAAGACATCATTAATGTGAGGATGGGGTAACTGGGTGATAGACATTAAGGAGGGCATGTGATGTAATGAGCACTAGGTGTTACATAAAACTGATGAATCACTGACCTCTACCTCTGAAACCAATAATACATTATATGTTAATTAACTGAATTTAAATTTTAAAAAAGACATCATTAAGAGAAAGTAAAAATGAAAACCACAGACTAGGAGAAAATACCTATATCCAAAAGACTCACATCCACAGTAAATATAAAAATCCGTAAGAAAAGGACAAATATTCCAATTTTAAAACAGTAATAAGCAGGGCACCTGGGTAAGCTCAGCCAGTTAAGCGTCTGCCTTTGGGTCAGGTCATGATCCCAGGGTCCTTGGATCAAGTCCCAGGTCAGGCTCCCTGCCTCTCCTTCTCCCTCGGCCCCTCCTCCCTGCTCGTGCCCTCTTTTCCTCTCACTCTCTCTCCCTCAAATAAATAAAATCTTTAAAGATGAACAGAGCGCCTGAGGCAGGGCTCAATCCCAGGATCCTGAGATCATGACCTGAACCGAAGGCAGAGGCTCAACCCTCTGAGCCACCCAGGTACCCCAATAAATAAAATCTTAAAAAAAAAAGATTCATATCAACTTTATTCAAAATAGTCCCAAACCAGAAACAATCCAAATGTCCATCAGCAGTAGAAAGGGTGCCTACCACTGCTAAGCCTTTTAATACACATTTTAATCTTCAGAATAACATAATACAGCCTCATCTTTAAAAATAAGGAAACTAGGGCTTACAAAAGTTAAACGTCTTGTCCAACATGTTCTGGAGAAAAGCTCGAAAGGCTCTTTATGTGCTAGGACTTGCAGATCACTCTTTTTTTTTTTTTTAAGATTTTACTTATTTATTTGACAGACAGAGATCACAAGTAGGCAGAGAGGCAGGCAAAGAGAGAGGAGGAAGCCGAATTCCTGCTGAGCAGAGGAGCTGCTCCATCCCAGGACCCTGGGATCATGACCTGAGTGGAAGGCAGAGGCTTACCCCACTGAGCCACCCAGGCGCCCCTTGCAGATCACTCTTAACAACCTAGTCAACATTTTAGGGGCAATTAATTCTTTACCTCACAATTAAGCACTAACTAGCAGTTTCCCTACCAAAGTTGAAAGCAGAAAGATATCAATTCTTTGAAATTCACAGAGCCACTCAGCAGCTATGGATTTACCAAAAGTTTACAAAAAACTACCAGTGTGGCCTCAGGGATGAAGCAAAGCACTATTTCCTGAAGTATAAGTATGCAGCACTGGTATAAAAGATGTTTTCATGTAGTTAAAAGGACATTATTTTAATAATTACGTATTTTCATGTGTATAAGGAAACAAAATCATGTTTTAATGGTTTACTACTTAGAAGAATGCTAAGTTTAAAAGATGAATCAATTCAAAGTAAATTGAAAAACAAATATTAAGCAAAGCACAGTACAGGCAAGCAGATATGGCCAAAATCCCAAATACAGTGTCTGTCGCGGCGGGCGTGACAAATCGACCAGGAATGTGAGAGTAAGAGGATGAAGGAAAGAACTCGAGAAGCAGAGAGATGGGGGCAGGAGGAGCACTGAGGAGGATGTCCAACAGTGCTAAGTTTATTCAAAGCATTAAGGCCATATATATAGTGATATTACAATAGGAGAAGCAATACATCTGTGTCTAGTTAAACAACCACAAGTTCCCATAGTAAGTTTCACAATTAACTATAAGCAGACCTCGTGATGCCAAATGGCTGATGCCAGTACAATTGTTCTGTATTGATACAGCAAACCTGAAAGTAATTTATGGGATGTACTAGGGCAGCAAGGACCAGCCATGAACTTAAGACCCCAACCGAATTGTTCTCATTTGTTTAGCAAGCGTGTGGGAAGTCACGTAGGCCAGCGCACAACACATAGCACAGACCCTTTCTCAGTGGTACTCAACTTTTCCCGTCCTAAACCTTTTGTTAGGTTATTCAGACTTTAAAGGAGGCACAAGTCGGGGCCTGGTTTGGTCCTCGTCTCAAGCCTTATTGCAGCCTCCCACAGGTCCCCAAATTACTTTTGTCTGGGAAACACTGAAGGCTGCGTGATCACAGTAAGAAAGTCAACAAAACAGCTTGCCTGCCAGATTCTACCCACTGAGCTATGGGAATTACTACTCACTTTTTATACTTAAAATATCAGAGAGCAACAAAAGGTTCTTCCCACTTTTATATTTTTATCAAACTAGTGGAAAACAAGTTATAAATATACTTAAACTGCCATGATACCCTTGTAATAAATGTGTATTACTATCTTTCTTCCCCATTACTGCCTGGGTAAGAAGGAAACATTTCTGTGAATAATCTCTTGCGGTCCTTTTTACTGCCACAATAGGAGGTGAATCCAGGACCTAAAGACCTTCAATCTTTCATATGAAAGAACTAACGAGGGCGCCTCGGTGGCTCAGTTGGCTAAGCGTCTGCCTTCAGCTCAGGTCAGGATCTCAGGGTCCTGGGATCGAGTGCCGCATGGAGCCCCCCTATTCAGTGGGGAGTCTGCTTCTCACTCTCCCTCTGCTCCCCCTGCTGTGCTTGCTCACTTTCTGTCAAATAGATAAAAATAAAATCTTAAAAAAGAAAAAAGAACTAACGAGAACTCACTCAGATCTTATGGATAAACCAGTGTTAAGTACTGCACAAGACTCAGAGCAGTTCCAAATCAAGTCCCTGAGGTGGCTGGTTGCTCCCCCAATAAGTCATTTTCCCCTCCTGCTATGGCGACTGATTTTTCGCTGGGCATCAAACTGCCCAAAAGAAATCTTCAACCCAACCTTGCAGCGAGGGTTATCACTGTGTGACTAAGTTCAGACTGGAAATGATACAGCAAATTCTGGGGCAGGCACTTTCCCCTTTTCTGCTCTCTGGATGTATTTGGGGGAGGTAGTCATCATGCACCAGGCCCATGAGGACAACGCCCCAGAAACACTGGAGCAACAAGAGACGTAGGGCCTCAGACTTCATGTAGCAGAACTGCCCTGCTGGCTCACTTTCATGTGAAATAAGTAAATAAATGTCTACCTCATTTAGATAACTAATTTGAAGGCTCTACCGAGTACAGCCAAACCCAGGAACCAGTTTAAGAGTCCCCCAGGATCTCACAATTAAGTTCATGATACTGGCTCTTTCCATTTCATCTATTAAACCATTAAAGTCTACCGAACAAAGCAGGCACACAACAGCCGATCACAGGAAGAATGAATCCGACGGGCTGTAATATAGTGGAAGGCCACAACCCTGAGAATGCAGGTGGTTTTGCCAGAGCAACAGACACAGAAGGTAAGGTTCCCCCGGCTACTGACAAGACGGAATAACCCAGTGACAGGAACGTATGCAGTTGTGCACAATGAGCTGTACTTCAAGAGAAGCTGAAGACCACTGAGGACAGTTGCGGGGGGAAAAGGTGATAAAGCCCTTCACTCAACTCTTCCTCTCCTTCTGCCCAGAGCACAGTGAAAAGGAAAGAGAAAACCAGACTACATTTAGTTGGAGGAGGGGGCTGATCTTCCATTTCTCTTCGAATGGTTTACTGGACACACTGGATTTAGAAAGATCTTGCTCCTTTGGTTCCCATCCACTTAAAGGAAAAATCATTGTGAACCGCACACATCACCAATAATCCAATTTAAACAAATAAAGTTGCTCACTTTTCACCATATCATCTTTCTCTCTCATTTTCTAAGACAAGACAGTACCTTTTTTTCCTAAAAGATTATTTATTTTGAGAGAGAGCAAAAGGGAAGAGAGGGAGAAAGGAAGAGAGAATCTCTAGCAGACACGGCACTGAGCATAGAGCCTGACACAGGGCTCACTCTCACGACCCTGAGATCATAACTGGAGCCAAATCCAAGAGTCAGATACTCAACCGACTGAGCCAGCCAGCTGCCCCCAAGACAGTATCATTGATCTTCCAAGTAAAAACTTTATTTTTACTCACCCCTTTCCAGGTGTCATATAAATGCCCTTTGCTCTTTAAAAAAATTGCTAAAAGGGGTGCCTGGCTGGCACAGTTGGAAGAGTATGCAACTCTTGATCTTGAGGTCATGAGTTCAAGCCTCACATGGGGGGCAGAAATTACTTAAATGAGTAAAACTATAAACATTTTAACAAAAAAATAAATGTCCTTTGACGATTTATCCCCATATCTCAGGCTCCCCAATCCTTTAAGATCTCTTAATCAAAACCTCAGGACCTTCTCCCTTAGATCTTACCACCTCCAGATCTTTCTCGCCTGTCAGGTACTATCCCCAAGCGTTGCTTTAATGATGCAATCTCACCCGTTAGGGCTGACCTCCTTCAACATAGTACATAAATACATCGCGACAGCAACTACATAAGGGCGACCCAAACACTTTATGGATCAAGGGCTCAAAGCTGAATCTCCATCCTCTAAGTCCAACCCTTTCACCATTCTCCCCGCTGCCTTGCTTCCTCTTTTTCCTCACCCACCTCGTCCTCTCAGGCAAATTTATTTTCACTAGTCTTTCTACTGAAGAAACAGGATTCTGGTCCTGTCCTGCCTTGACTCCAAAATTTCAAATGTATAACTTATTCAACCACTTGTTCCCATGGCCTGAAAAACACATCCTCCCCCCCAAACTCCCTTCAACACCCACCTTCTCCTCCCTCTGGCCCTATCCTCTGCCTATCACTTTACATGGTATACTAAAAAAAAAAAAAAGAAGAAGAAGAAAAGAAAAAAAATACTTTCTGGAGTCTAGATACAGCGGGGCTTGAATGCTTCCTTTCTCCCCTCTAGAATGTAAGCTCCATTAGGGTAAGAATTTTTGTCTCTG